GTATTACAGAGCAAACTATTACCATAAAATTTTTCTAATTGAACACACATTAGGGATTGGATAAGTAAATAAGGAATGATCTATATTCTAGATTTATGATAGCAGAAGTATTATTGTTCTAAACAATAATACTTAAGAATTTTTGTAATAGGAAATATAATGTTATGGGAAGAAAATAAAATATAGAATTGTATATACATTATACTCACCACTTGGCAAAATACCATGCACAGAAAAACAACATGAAGAAAATACATTAAAATGTCAGGAGTGGATTGCCTTTGATAGTCAGGTCCATGGGAATTCCTTTCTTCCTTTAAAAAGTATTCCATGATGAGCATGAAATATTTATTAATGAAAAAAACTTATTTAAAATATATTATGCAAAGTATTTTAGGAAGATGCAATGGCAGCATACATTTTAATCTCTTTCAAAACCCACATTAAAAAACAAAACAGAAAACAGATCAACTAGTTAGCAAAACCAAAACCCACAGATAATCATTACAATGAAACTAGGTGGCAAGGTATCTCCATAAACCCCAAAACACAAGCAGTGAGAACAAATCGCCAAAAGCCACAAGGCATGTATGTATAAACAATTTTGTGGGGAGAGGAAGGGAAACAATGATTCATGGACAAATAACTCAAGATGTTCTTCTCCAGTTACTTATTTTTAAATGCTTCAGGCCAATTTTCTAAAAGAAACTAAAACAGAATGATTGAAGGGGCTAAAGCAATCTCATTCTTGTGATATATGGGGGTGACTTTTCCCTCACGCCCCCTCCCCCCACCGCCAAGGATGAAAGTAAACAAGACAAGATGTGATCTGCTTGAGGACAAGAGGTGGCCAGTTGCTCAGAGGAAACAAAGGCCAGAAGCAGCCAGTTTCTCCATGGAAAAAAAGGTCTGAAGCCCCTTCCTCCAGTAGCTTTTATTGAATTGTAATACCCAGGAATACAGGGCAACAAGGATCAAATAGTAGATAACATTTCCAAGAAATCTGAAGGTTTAGTGTGAGTCAGTGTCTGTCAGGAAAGGGGGTTGCAGAACTTTGGGGAGACATACTCATTTCCTCTCAGACCCTTATATGAATGAAAGCACTGGAAGCAGAGCAGGTTTCACAAGTTTATCAGGAAGTCTTTGTGGTGCCAGATTGTTCCCCAGGACATACTCTAGCCAGGCAAGGAGCTGCACCTCTCCCCATCAGGTATTCAGGTTTAAGGGGACTAGAGCCAGGAAGCGCTTCTCCCAGAGAACATGGGGACACGGGCTATGTCAAAGCGGGTGGGGGGGGCTGAGAGGCCATTGCTCTTTGTTGCAGCCCCCCCCCCCAGTCTTTCCATAATGGCCTCCCACATGATCAAGTTTCGCTTAGGTTGCCCCCCCCAGCTGTGAAGGGTCTTACCTGTCATTGACTTCTGACCAAGCTTTGGGGGCAGGGAGAGAAAACTGAGGCAGTGTTTGCTACCAGAGACAAGCTTTGTCTCCTGCTGCTTGCATTCAAGAGGTCCTCACTTGCCCTTAGCCACAGGGGGTCGAGTTACAATTCCTGAAACCAGGCAGAGCAGTCTACAGCAGTGATGTCTTAAAACTGATGCTCCTAGACTCCCTTCTAGGAGAGGGTCACACAAAAAGAAGCCATATGGAGCGAAATCTAAATTGAGTCTGATAAAGAAGAGGCAGTGGAAAGGGAAAGGCTAAAGGATCATTCTCTAATAAGATAGCCAGTAACCATATGTTATTTAAATTTTAATAAAAAATTAATTACTCAACATTAATTAAAATTAAAATTTTAACTTCTCAGTCACACTAGCCATATTTCAAGTGCTCAACAGCCAGAGAGGGAGGGTCAGGAAATCCCCAAAATACACTATATTTTTTAACGCTTCATAGAAACAAGAAAAGATGGAGTTATCCAATTTAGGACATGATTTTTTAAACCTGGCCTTACTATAAAAGTTCAGGAAATTAATATCACATAAAAATGAACAATAGTAAATTATCAAGTTCAAATTCAATACAAAATTATCAAAAGAAAAATAGAGCAGAATAATTTCCCTACAGATACTGAAAGAACATCACAAAGGTGTGTCTACAGAACAGAACAAAACTGTAAACTATTAATTTAAAACAAGCTAAGAGACATTAAAAAGTTAATACATGCCAGAAAAGAACCATACAAAGCAGAAATTTTTAAAAAAAAATTTACAAGTGAGGTAATAGACCTCAGAAAAGAATTAAAAGTGATGAAATACAGTATTACATAAAGAGAGACTAAACTTAAAAGACTATAAGGTTAAAAACTGATAATGCTTAAGAACAAGAGAAAGTAAAAGAAAGAATTTTTTCTAAAACATCAAAAAAAGAAATACAAAATATTATAGGTAAAGTAACAAACATTGAAAATAGAATAAAAAGATCAAACATGTGGACAATAGGAATATCTGAAGACAAAAACCAAACCAAACCAAAGGAACAAATAATACCAAAAACTATGATTCAAGAAAACTTTCCTAAATTAAAATAAATGATATGAAAGTACACATTGAAAGATCATATACATACCTGAGAATATTGACTGAAAATAGCCAACACAAGAAATATTCTGGTAAAATTATTGGACTTTGAAGAATAGGGGAACACATTTTTTGGGTATCCCTCTAGGTTCAGGGAGGGATATAACCTATAAGGAGAAGAAAATTACATTATCATCAGACTTTTTCTACAGTAATCCTTAAGATCAGAAGACAGAGGAGTAACATATTAAAGATATTCAAGAAAGCTAGTATGAGCCAAAGATTTTATATCAAGTGACTTTTAAGAATAAAGGGCACAGGCAAAGTTTTATAAAGAGAGAATTCAGGAAAAACAGTTCTCAAGAGCGCTTCCTAAGGAATTTTCACATGGCTAATTAGTGCATGTGTGTCTGTGTCTGAATCTTTCTTCTCTTTCTCTTGTGAAGACAGCAGTCATTGGATGTAGAGGCCATCCCTAATCCAATATGACTTAATATTAATCAGTTATATCTACAAAACCTCTATTTCTAAATAAGGTCACATTGATACAGGGTGCAGCTTAGGGGGGCCCCCCAAAAAAGATTTGGAATGGTGTCCAGAATTCAAAGTGTATAAGAATATTGGAGAGACATATGAGATGTCCTTACTCCCCCAGGGAGAAGAGACAAATAGAGCCAGGGACATTGAGAGCTGTTTTGCATAGCAACAGTTTTGCAGCTAACCTCTGGAATGATTATTTAACATATCTATAACCTTTGACTGGTTTCATAGATATGTTAAATAGCTGTGGCCAAGTTTTGAGCCAGGGAGAAGGGAGTGGCTTCTACCCAAGATGTACCGAGGGGCTGCGTCCCTGAATGAGAAGGCCTGTGTGAGAGCTTGAAAAAGATTGGCTCCAGGACATGAGGGGATAACTGCCCAGGTGAGGAGAGAGCCACTGGGTTGGGGGCAGAGTGAGGACTCTTGCAGACATGTAGGGGAGAGCCATGCGGTTTCAGCAGAGTGAGGACCCCCTCTTGGTGAGGTGAAAGTGTTATAGGAAAATGAAGCAACCAGACACCGAGGGATTCTGGAGTACGAGGTTTATTATTTAACGTGCACGGGCCCAGAGGAGTCACTCTCCGAATTCTGAGCCCCGAACAAAGGATTCTTGGGGAATATATAGATTAGGGGTCTTCCTGTCTACGTGACAAATGTGGGATACAGAAGCAAAATGTGATAATCATTCTATCAGTGGTGGTGCTAGTTCCAGTCCTACTGGCTATCTGCTCTCCAGACAGCCCCATCGCTCTCCGATTGCACATGGGGCTTGGGCAAATAAAGGTTAAACAGAGGTTTTTCAAAGTTTCCCATATCAAAAGAGGGAGCCACGTGGTTTTGGCAGAGTGTGGACCCCTCTTTGTGAGGTAAAAGAAAAAACCACGCAGCTTTGCCAGAATGGAGATCCCTGCAGCCAGGTGAAGAAGAAAGGCGCATGCTTTTGGTGGAGTGAGAACCCCTGCAGCTTTGGTAGAAGAGGCCCACACGGCTTTGGGATGCCCCCTTTGGCCACATGGTCTGGAAAGCAAGAGAGACTTTGACTAGAACTGGGTACAAAAGAACTCTTTCCAGTGGACCATGAGAAGGTGCCACAGTACTTTGGATTAAATGGAGATCCTGCCTCACACAGCTGACGATTCTAGCAGCCTGAAAAACAGACGTGTGCTCTTTTCCTGATTTATAGTACCCGGAGTTGGGACAGTGGGAGAAGGGAGCGCTGTGTGGGTGTAAGAGTATACCCTAAAGGACTTTGATAGTTTGGTGGAGGCATTAAGCCTAAATAGCATTAAATAAACATTTTGTTTCCTTTTCACAAATCTCTGGCATTGAGAGATGTCTTTCCAATTGGCGGCAGACAGAAGAGCCCAGTAGATATTAGTATTCTGTCCTTGGGAGGGGCCCCTGTTGTTCTGTAGCAGTTTCTGGTGTTGTAGGCAACAGATGGGTCGATACACGCTCTTGGAGATGAAAATTGGTTTCAAAGAATTCTAGTTTTATTAATCACAAAATAATGGTCCAAATATGAATTTGGTGGCCAAGCTTTACCTGCACAGGGGCGAACTTCCCCAACTGTGACTGAAGCCACGTAGCTACTCGGAGCTACCAGATGGAAGTCGCGCCTGGCTTACAAACTACGGGGTTTTTATAGGGCAGAGCAAGCAAGCGCGGGCTTACAGAAGCAGATGTGGCGGTTAGCTATTAGCTAGGTTGCTAAGTTGAAAACGGCAAAGGTCCCTAATTGGTGGGTGTGGCTGCTGGCGGGCCTCTTCTGGCGGGCCCTGGTTAGTTACCTTATTTGGCTAGAATTTTGAACCCAACCATTCCCGGACGTTTATTCATTACCCAGTCTCAGGAACTGCAGATGCCTAACGGCTGTTTGTATGTTTCTACTACTAATGGCCATTACATTCCCGACTGCCGGTCATCTTGAGGCAGGATGGTTTATGGTTGGGACAATACCATAAGCTTGATGGCATCAATCCTGTCCCTGATGAATGCAAAAATCTTATTCAAGATCCAGGGTCCTGCAGTCAGGGCAAGCAATAGGATAAGTATAGGGCCAGCTAATGCGGAAATAAGCGTGGTCAGCCAAGGGGAAGCTTTAAACAGAGAGGCATACCACGAAGAGGTCTCTTCCTCTTGTTCTCTTTCTTTTAGTCTCTTGGTTAGCATCTTTATGCTTTCTCTGATTACCCCTGAATGGTTAGCATAAAAACAGCACTCTTCCCCTAAGGCTGCACATAGTCCTCCTTGTTGAAGAAACACAAGATCAAGCCCCCTTCGGTTCTGAAGTGCTACCTCAGCTAAGGAGTCTACTTGGCGTTCTAGGAACATTACTTGTTCCTGGAGCAGGGAGACATCTTTAGAGAATGTCTGCGATAACTGTCTAAGGCTATTCTCCCCATGGATTAGTGCCCCCGCTCCAACAGCTGCTGATCCAATTATACCAATAGTGGCAGCTATGGGTATGAGCAATGGAGTCCGCTTGACTCTGGAAGGGGGTCGTAGCACAAAGTTGGGATCCCCTCCATACAGGTATACTTGGGGAATAATATATGCACTAACACAAAGTTCTGGGTTAGTAGGAACTAGACATTTAAAAATACCTTGGGTACATATAAACCATAGCCCTTCTGGGGCTCTTGTTACAGTCAATGTTCCTGGGGTCTTCGGTATGTATACTAGGTTGAGACAGTAATCTGCATAATTCGAATCATTGAGGGTGAAATTAGCTAACAGGTAACAGGTTCCCTGTCCATGAAACTCTGCCAAGGTGATGGTACCTTCAAATTCACATTGTTCAAGACCTTGCACCTGTCTTTTCCCTTGGGGAAGTTGCATTGTGATGGGAGTGTTATTTCCCCCTGCGGAGGAGTTAACCCCCAGGCCAACATAGAATGGGGGCCTTGGGCTAAGGCATAACCAACAGGACTTAGTAATGTTTGGCATAGTATAGTTAAAATAAGGAAACACTTGTTCCAAGAGGCTTAGGGCCGACTCTCCTTGATGATGAGGCCTACCTACCAAGGGTGGTGGGCTACGGAGGGGTGGCCTTGGTTTTTCTTCTGATGCTGGGGTTTCAGTTGTCCTGGGAGGGGGCCCGGTTCCCTTTAGGTCAGGAGAACGCGTAGCGGCTAGGCCTGCAGTTGGGCTGGGTGGGCGAGGTGGCAACCTGCCTGCCGCTCCTCTTAGGAGGGGCCTTCCCCTGGTGGGCAATCTCTTTACAGTGAAGAAGGTTCCTGGGTCTCTCCCTGCGACATACGGGCAGATGCCCCAGGTTTGCCCTTTTACCCACTCGGGGTCTATAGGGTTTAAAACAGTTATGACAGTTGGGTTACAATTGTTTGTGGCGCAGTTCTGATCCCATCCGCCTGCAGGTTTTCATCTCTTATCCCTTAAGAGGGTAATAGCCTTATCCTTCCCCGCTCCGGGACTCCAACCCCCATCGGTGAGAGTCTCACAACCCCATGCTTTACAGTAGAAATCTCCATGGGACCCACAGGTTCTCCTCCTTCCTACTGGGGGTTCTGGACACCCGTAAAACGGGGTCTGAAAAAGGGCTTTATTCTTTATATTTGAGTCACAGTTGGTAACGGCTCCCATTGCATATCCTGTTTCATCTCCTAGTCGCCCCCAATCAGTGTGTCTCCAAGCAGCAGGGGGAGTCACAGAAATGGTTATCGAAAAACTTGGAGAAGTCTGCATGTAGAGTCACTGGGCCTGTATCCCAAGTAAAATTAGTGGCAATGACTGTGCCATCTGCTGTCCTTATGAGTACCCACTCCTGCTGTTCTAGGCCTTGGCTTAGAGCTTTCCCGTGGTTCATGGACAGAGTTACTATAATCAGGAACAACCTTACTGTTTTAGGAACGTTAGGCGCAGCGGTCGCTCAGGATCTCTGCTGACTCGCCATGTGCCTTGATGTTCCCTAGGAGGTTGAGCTGGCTTTGTGTGTGATAGATGAATCCAGTAGGGTTTTTCTGCGACTCGCACTGCAGAGAGGGTGCTGAGCAGGACCTGGAAGGGGCCGACCCACCGTGGCTCCAGGTTTCCCTCGCCTGTGGTTGAGGATCCACACCCACTGGCCTGGTTCAGGAGGAGTAGGCCACTGGGTCGTTTCAGCTGGGGGCTGATGTCGTAGGACTCGTATCTCCTGTCGCACCTGCTGCAAGGCCTGGAGGGACTTAAGGAAGTTATGATTTGTGCTGGCTATTTCTTCACTGGAAAGTTTGGGAATAATGGGGACAGGTTGCCCAAACATGATTTCATATGGGGTCCAAGACCCCACGTAAGGGGCACACCTTACCCGGAATAAGGCAAAAGGAAGAAGCTCGACCCAGTTTTCGCCAGTCTCTTCCTTTAATTTAATAATAGTCTCTTTTAGAGTTCTGTTCATTCTTTCTACTTGTCCTGAACTCTGGGGTCTATAAATACAATGGAGCTTCCATTCAATCAGTAATTTGCTGGCCAATTCTTGGGAGACCTTTGAGACAAAGGCCGGGCCATTATCTGAGCCAATAGCTAATGGAAGCCCATATCTGGGGATAATTTCTCCTAGGAGTAGTTTGCATACAATGGAAGTGGTCTCCCCCTTAGTGGGGAAGGCTTCAGTCCAACCTGAGTAAGTGTCTACTAGTACACTAAGAGATACTTATACCCAGATTTTCCTGGTCCCATTTCGGTGAAATCTACTTCCCATAACTCACCTGGACTCTTACCTCGGTACCTTACCAGGGGAGGATACTTCTTATTCTGGGCATTTACCTTAGCGCATGTCTGACATCTAGTGGTTATTGACTGAACTGTATCTCTTAACTTTGACCCTGTATAATATTTCTTTATTAACTGTTCTAATCTGGTCTGGCCGAGGTGGGTGCTTGCATGCAACTCTTGGGCTATTGTTCTTAAGACCCCTTGGGGAAGGAAGATCTTGGAGTCAGGTAGTACAATTTGCCCTTTAGAGTTTTTAACTCCCCCTGCCTTTAGACCAACTTGCTCTTCCTCGGGGGTGTAGATAAGTTTTGGGGGGATTTCGAGGCGTGGAATGAGTGGAAGAACAACTACTTCTCCTTCAGCAGCTTTCCGAGCAGCGGCGTCAGCCAAATCGTTTCCCCTGATGATGGGTGACTCACCTTTCTGATGCCCTCGGCAATGTATTATGGCTACCTTAGCGGGGAGCCATATAGCTTCCAAGAGGGCCAGGATCTCTTCCTTGTTCTTAACTTCCTTCCCACCGGCAGTGAGGAGGCCACGCTCTTTGTAGATGGCTCCGTGGATGTGAGCGGTGGCGAAAGCATACCTGCTGTCGGTGTAGATATTAGCGGTCTTACCTTCTGCTAGACGCAGAGCCTGGATTAGGCCAATCAGTTCAGCTCGCTGGGCTGAAGTTCCAGCTGGCAACGCCTTCTGCCAGATCACCTTCGTCTCAGTGGTGACTGCCGCCCCTGCTAGTCGCCACCCTTCCCGCATGAAGCTGCTTCCATCAGTAAAAAGAACTAAATCAGGCTTGTCATAGGCCTGGTCCCGTAAATCGGGTCGGGAACCAGTGATAGAGTCTAATACCCATGTGCAGTTATGGGTTATAGCCGCGTCTGGTAAGGGCAACAAGGTCGCAGGGTTCAGGGCGGTTGTTTTAACGAACTGCACAGCTGGAGGATTTAGGAGCTGAGCTTGATACTGAGTCAGTCGGGCATTCGAAAGCCATCTGTCTGGGGGTGCCCGTAAGATCTGCTCTAGATAGTGCTCTCCGATTACCTGAATGTCTTGGCCTAAGGGGAGCTTGCTTGCTTCTTTGACTAACACAGAGGTGGCCGCTAAGGCCCTCAGACATGCTGGCCAGCCAGAAGCTACAGGGTCAAGTCTCCTTGATAGGTAGGCTACAGGTCTTCTCCATGGACCGAGCTCTTGGCACAGCACCCCTAATGCAGTTCCTTCTTTCTCGGCTATGAATAGTTGAAATGGCTTAGATAGGTCCGGCAGAGCTAGGGCCGGGGCCGCAACGAGGGCCTCCTTCAGGGCCTGGAAGGCCCTTCTTGCCTCGCTAGTCCATTCAAACTTTTCTTCCTTTCCCCGAGTTAGCTGGTGCAGTGGTCGGGCCAACTCTGCAAAACCTAGGATCCAAAGCCGACAGTATCCTACTGCTCCGAGAAACTCCCCTATCTGTCTCTTGGTGGTAGGTTCTGGGATTTGTAGGACTGTTTGAATCCTCTGATTGGATAAGGTTCTTTGCCCATTCTGCAGGTTATACCCCAGGTAACTTACAGTTTGAGTCACAATCTGGGCTTTCTTGGCTGACACACGGTATCCCATCTTCTCTAGGTCTCAGAGTAGGTCCTTAGTAGCAGCCTCGCACTTCTCCGCACTCCTCTCCGCAATGAGGATGTCATCCACATACTGCAGGAGTACTGTCGTGGGGTGGGAGACGCGGAAAGCCTGCAAGTCCTTACCTAGGGCCTCACTGAAAATGGTAGGTGAGTTCTTAAATCCTTGTGGTAGGCGTGTCCAGGTGTACTGGCCTACTAATCCATTTTCAGGATCATTCCACTCAAAGGCAAAGATCTCTTGGCTTTGACCGGCTAGCGGTATGCAAAAGAAGGCGTCCTTTAAATCTAGTACCAAGTAATGAGTATGAGTCGGGGGCAAAGAACTCAGCAGGGTATATGGGTTGGGCACGGTGGGATGTATAGTCTCTACCCGCATATTTACTTCCCTCAGATCTTGAACTGGCCGGTAATCCGCCATCCCGGGCTTTTGTACTGGTAACAAGGGAGTATTCCAGGCTGACTGACACTCCCGTAGAATACCTGCTTTTAGAAGTCGCTTAAGGTGTTGGGCAATCCCCTGCCGGGCTCGGCTGGGTACTGGGTACTGTCTCACCCGAATAGGGCTGGCAGTGCTTTTCAGCTGGACTAGCACTGGAGGTTGGTGGAGTGCTAGGCCTGGTGGATTAGTCTCTGCCCAGACCCCGGGAATCTCAGAGAGGAGGGTTTCTGGTACTCCTTTCTCCTCCTTACCTTCCTGGAGGGTTGCCAGCAGGTATTCTTCTGAGAGTGGCACAGTTACCTCTACCCGGGCAGGTCCTGGAGTATTGGTCCCGGGCGCCTCAGTCTGCTTGAAAGTGATAGTGGCCTGAAGTTTCTGCAGTAAGTCTCTCCCGAGTAGCGGGTAGGGACAATCCAGAACCACTAGGAACGAATGGGTTATGGTGCCCAGCCCCAAGTCTGTGACCCTTGCAGTAGTCCATGGGTGAGATTCCTCTCTGCCCGTAGCCCCTATGATCTTGGTAGTTGTCTTTTGTGCCTTTCCTTGTGGTTGCTTTAAGACTGAAAAAGTGGCCCCCGTGTCTACTAGGAAATTTATTGGCTTCCCTTCGACGTTCAGAGTGACCATGGGTTCCTGGGGGCCAACTGGTATAGAGCCCCGGCCCCGTCAGTCTAGAGTCTGAAGCAGGACGGGGGTCCTTTCCTCTAACCCGGGTGGCCTGGCTCTGCGTTTAGGGCAATCTCGTTTCCAATGTCCTATTTCCTTGCAGTAGGCACATTGATCTTTGTTTAAGGGAGCCCGCCGTTGCTGGGCTCCATCCCTACCTTTCTCCCTCCGGCCAGGTTTCTGAGCTGCTATGAGGATCTTGGCTACTTCCTTTGCTCTACCTATCTCGGGGTCATCTCTGTTCACATAAACTTTCTGAGCAATTTCTAACAGTCTGCTTAGGTTTTCTCCTTCAAAACCTTCAATCTTCTGTAGTTTCTTCCTAATATCTGATGTCGCCTGTGTGACAAAGGCAATATTGACAAGCCTGCAATTTTCTGGCGCTTGGGGGTCTAGGGGGGTATACACCCGGTAGGCCTCTAGAAGCCTCTCTAAATATGCTGCTGGGGATTCCTCTCTCCCTTGGGTGACCTCACTTACCTTACTGAAATTGGTTGGCTTTCTAGCTGCTGCTCGTACCCCTCTCAGGAGAGCTCGGCGATACTGGAGTAGAGCTTCCCTCCCCGCACTTGAATTTGGGTCCCAGTCCGGAGGCTGGTTGGGGATGTCCCCAACCCCCCTCCGGCTTCCTCCCAGCCCTCCTTCTTCTTCCCTTACGGCCTTTTCTGTCTCTCGAAGGATTCTCTCTCTCTCTTCAGAGGTGAAGAGAGTTTGGAGTATCTGTTGGCAGTCATCCCACGTAGGCTGGTGGGTCCTAAAAACGGTCTCTAGAAGGGAGATTAAGCCCTGGGGCTTTTCAGAGAACCGGGGATTCTGAAGTTTCCAATTATATAAATCACTGGTGGAAAAAGGGACATAGACTAGACGAGGGGGAGTGAAGGCCGGGGCATCAGGACCCTGCGGCACCTCCCGGAGAGGCAAAGCGGCGGCACCTCCCGCTGAGGGGGTCGCCCCATATAGGGTTCCCCTCCTGGTGTGCGGGGGACGCATCAACTCCTCCCCCGTGGTGGAGTCTGGTTGCGGGGTAGGATTGTACGGCGGCGGGGCAGTTGGGGCGAGTAGAGAATCCTCTGGCTGCTCTGGCAGCACCGGATATAGGCGGGGCTGCCTCTCTTTCTGCTCCTGGGGAGGAGGTTTTCTCCCCCCTGGCCTTGGCCTGGCTGCTACACAGACGCTCCGCCGCATTGTATTCCTGCCTGTCTGACAGCGGCGTATGTACCCCGGCCGCTCGGTAGCTATATCTACCCACACATCTATATAAATCATCTGATCTGGAT